TTCCTTTAACTGGGGAAAATCGGCAATAATTAGTTCGCCTGTGAGATTTTGTCCGGCTCTGTCAATTTCCCTAACTTCTTCCTTATTCGGATATTTTTGGTCTAATCATTCTTGGGCATTTGGTGTATAATATTTATTTATTATAATTTGCTATAATCAACTTTATAATGTTTGGTTAGAAAAAATTAACCAGTAAGGTCATTTGGGTCGCACAACTAAAAAAAATCTTCATCCTCCCTCCCACCGGCTCCTTTGGTTGGTCGTTTTTAGGTAGGGTTGGATATTGCTGTCGTTTTTTAACCAATAAAAAGAATAACTTTCCCGCCTTGATTTTTTTCTCGGGCTTCTCATTGAGTTAGTAATCCGAAGGAAGTCGAAAGCAGATAAATTCCTTTCCCGCGACAAAATTTTCTCACTTCCGGAACTGGCCAATGAATATGCTGCGAAGGAGTGGAGATTTTTTTTATTTCCTGAATACGGCTATTGTGGTTATTATACTTGATTTTGATTTTAATTTGGTGGTTTTTTTCGTCGACTCAGCACTCAGAAAGAAAATTATTTTCTTGGAGTTTTTGACAAATTTTTCATTTGAAAATTGAAAAAGGAAAATTAACCGCCCGGTAAGAACGCAGATTAGCATTACGAATACTAGTTAGCATGTTGGCTACGGGGTCACTGAAAGTCATACTTATAATAATATTTTTAGTCCTTATAACACCGATAATGAAAATTTTCTTTTCTCCGACCCTACTTAACTACGTTTTTTTATATCAAAATACAAAGAATAAAGAGAAAGTAACGCGAGGAAAGAATACGCTATAAATTTATAATGAAAAAGCTTACATGTCCCACAATTGCTCATTGGTTTGTCTTTCTGATAATGTTCTTCTTTCACGTGGTAAGAGACAATGGTTTGCATTCCTATGGCCATTATTAAAAACTTTAACCAATTAAAAAATAAGTTAGAACTGCTTTTCTTCATCTTTGTTTTTACCTACTTTTTTTTCTTCTTTATATACAAAAAAAGAAAAAATCGATTCTACACCAAACTGCATAAAAAAGGCTGACCCTCGTTCTAACATCAAAAAAGGACAAATAGTCATGGCTCTGATTGTCACTAGTAAGAAGTACTTTCGTCGCCAGAATAATACTTGAATTAAGTTTAGCAAGAATTGTGCCGTGGTAGTCAAAAAGGAAAACAAAGAGCCTGTTGGCACTCGAATTTTTGTGCCAGTATTAGCGGAATTTGATTACTGGGGATATAAGAAAGTTTTCTCCTTGGCCCCCGAAGTTTTATAGAGTTAATTTCTAAAAAGTATGTGAATTTCAATTATTAAAAATGCTTATAATTAATGTTGGCAAAAATCTTAAAAATCTATCTGACAAGTGTTAATTACCAAGCAAAATTTTTCCTTTTGTGCTAGCCTTTTTTATGCAGTTTGGTGTAGAATCGATTTTTTCTTTTTTTGTATATAAAGAAGAAAAAAAAGTAGGTAAAAACAAAGATGAAGAAAAGCAGTTCTAACTTATTTTTTAATTGGTTAAAGTTTTTAATAATGGCCATAGGAATGCAAACCATTGTCTCTTACCACGTGAAAGAAGAACATTATCAGAAAGACAAACCAATGAGCAATTGTGGGACATGTAAGCTTTTTCATTATAAATTTATAGCGTATTCTTTCCTCGCGTTACTTTCTCTTTATTCTTTGTATTTTGATATAAAAAAACGTAGTTAAGTAGGGTCGGAGAAAAGAAAATTTTCATTATCGGTGTTATAAGGACTAAAAATATTATTATAAGTATGACTTTCAGTGACCCCGTAGCCAACATGCTAACTAGTATTCGTAATGCTAATCTGCGTTCTTACCGGGCGGTTAATTTTCCTTTTTCAATTTTCAAATGAAAAATTTGTCAAAAACTCCAAGAAAATAATTTTCTTTCTGAGTGCTGAGTCGACGAAAAAAACCACCAAATTAAAATCAAAATCAAGTATAATAACCACAATAGCCGTATTCAGGAAATAAAAAAAATCTCCACTCCTTCGCAGCATATTCATTGGCCAGTTCCGGAAGTGAGAAAATTTTGTCGCGGGAAAGGAATTTATCTGCTTTCGACTTCCTTCGGATTACTAACTCAATGAGAAGCCCGAGAAAAAAATCAAGGCGGGAAAGTTATTCTTTTTATTGGTTAAAAAACGACAGCAATATCCAACCCTACCTAAAAACGACCAACCAAAGGAGCCGGTGGGAGGGAGGATGAAGATTTTTTTTAGTTGTGCGACCCAAATGACCTTACTGGTTAATTTTTTCTAACCAAACATTATAAAGTTGATTATAGCAAATTATAATAAATAAATATTATACACCAAATGCCCAAGAATGATTAGACCAAAAATATCCGAATAAGGAAGAAGTTAGGGAAATTGACAGAGCCGGACAAAATCTCACAGGCGAACTAATTATTGCCGATTTTCCCCAGTTAAAGGAA